ATCTACAGCACCATATGTTTCAAGATATGCAGCACCATATGGACATGAAAATAATGTTCAATCACACCTACTAATCTGTCACTATTGCAGCAGGAAAACGCTCTACTGATATCCCTTATCCGACTCTCATCATGACCTCAAGCTTCTCAGCAGGGTAATACCGTCATTCATTCTCAGTAGTTGATGTCCTGGATCGCCCTTACTACCTATGATGGACAACACCATATAGAAATAAAAAATATGTTCAATCAAAGCTGCGAATATTGCCATTGTCCGATACGCCTTCCAATACTCTTATCTGGTTTGATTGCATCTTAACCTAAAGCTCTCGCATGTCGAATAATAGAGACATCCGTCTCAACAAGTTGCTATGCCCAGATCGGTCGAAAAGGGCTTGGCGAACAGGTCTATATAGGAAGAAAAATATGTTCAATCACCGCCACAAGCACTGACGTTATTGCCCCAGCCCGCGCGGTGCTACGCCTTCAAACACGCCTATCTTCTGTTCATCTGCAGCCCAAAGCTCTTGATGTCGGGTAATGGAGTCATTCATCATACACAGTTGAGATGACAGAGGTTCTTATTAGTTTTCAAAGTGGAAGGCGCAGGCAGAATCGCCGGGAAAACACCTTGTGCGTTCTTCGGACACCCATTTAGGAAGATGGCCCGATTGCATGGTTGGTATTGGACACAATCCTTTGACTGATGTTCTCGCAGTACATATCACACATAGCTATATAACGCTTGCTCCATGTCGGACAATACAGACGTCAATAAAAAAGTAAGATTATAAAAAGTTACGAGCTTCCGATACTTTCCCATTCCGCGTCAAGCCGTAAAAGCTGCAAAGGAGGATTTTGAGTTGCCTTCTTTGAAGTACACTTGTATTGTTCGGACTTTGCCAATGCCGTGAAAACCTATAATATGTTGTCAAGGACACGATGCCAGCAAAGACTATAATGGATGGAGCCTCGTCGTGGAAAATGCATAGCGTGGGCCATGCATGGCCTGGAGTTGTGATCTTTTGAGATGGAGACTCTGGGAAGATGCGGAGTGCTTAAAGGTCTTATACGTGGATTGAATAAGGCCGTTCCCGTCCATATTTCACTGCAGCTGCCTGGATATAAGGAGAGGAAAACTACAAGAGGTTCTTTTCATCAACTACTATTACAGTACAGATAACATCATTGTACAATGCGTTGGATAAGTGAAAGCAAGGAATGACTGGATTGATGAGTGGATCATAGGAGAACTTTAGAAACGGGAGTGTGTATACGTGTATATATGCACGTATGTGTTACTTTCTGCAGTATAACTGATGTGTTTTTCATCGTCATTAAGTGACAAAATAGTTGTACGTCACCCATAGCCGACTGTCTAATGGTGAAACTATTTCAAGAGTATAGATTTTCTGACGTAATAGATGTACCCTTTTGTCTATAAGTTCGCCCTTAATTTCCCAAGTGCAACATTTGCTCTTATCGTTTTTAACAGGCGCCAAATAAGGCCGTCACGGTGAGATAATCAAATGTCTTGTCGTTAACCACGATTCTCAGTGAGTCTGTGCGTCGTTTAGATACTTATCTTGGCAACAAGACAAAACCAAGTCCACTTATACCACAGACATGCTGCCAAGTAACTGGCATCGACCGTAATCATTTGATGCTTTTATAAGTCTAAGCGGTATGGAGAAACACACCATGCTATATATCTTAGGGAGCAGGACTAGACCTAGCAAGACTGGACTCCAGGACAGATTTTTTGACGCTTTACACTAACCTTGAAGCAGACTATATTGTCTAAATTGGCCGCTCGTATCCATTAGCCTCCTATAACCATTGGCCACCCCACGAGGCGGGCAATATATATATAGACTCCCCTTGCCCCACAGAACTGCCGGGAGATTAAAAGTTTTACAAACTGTCTATCCAGCTCATATGTCCATTAGCCTCCTATAACCATTGGCCACCCCTCGATGGACAACAGGCGGGTAATATACAGTATATAGACTGCCCTTGCCCCACAGACTCTGCTGAGAGATTAAAAGTTTTACAAACTGTCTATCCAGCACATATGTCAGGCTGGTCTGTTGGCATCCGTCCCGGGACGCTGCACGTGAGTTAGGCAGGCGATCCTCACTGACACTGACGCAAGGAAGATCCCATGGAGATAATTTGACGTAATAATGCAGACACTCGACTTCCTTGCTTGATTTTAAAAACGTCATATACATCGACGATGCCTTTGATGATTACCGTTACGTTGGCCCTTAATTTCCCAGGTGCAACGCCAACAGTTCTTATCGTTTAGTAAGGTCGCCTGAGGGTTCTATAATATCAAGCCGTCGCCAGAAAGTAATCACACGTCTTGTGATTCTACAGTCTCTACACTTGTGACGTTCAGATGTTATCTAGCAAATTAGACAGAAATACGCACAACTCCAGCTGCGTGTTTCCGGGTAAGGACATATAGTTTCCATTTGTACTCAATTAAGGTTCAAAAGTTAAAGTGCCTTTTCGTAGAAAATGAAATACATGATAGATTGCAGTTATAACGTATATGTGTGTCTCTTTCCTCAATATAAAGTAAAGTTATGTGACGTCTGTGACTTTTCCACGTAGGAATTCATAGGAGATTTATCACTCACGTGACTTTGACGTAAGTAACGCCCGCCATGTTGGATGGTTAAACCTGGTGGCTGCCAGGCAAATTTGTTGTCGTATTGTCGTATCGCACGTTTCAATGACGTTATTCCTGTGTAAATGGGCCTTTTTTTTCTATTCCAACATTTTTCAACTTATTTTTATGCCACCACTAACGCAAACAAACGCATGAACTACATACGCATGAGAGACATACTCATTTTCACCTGAATAAAGTGAGGAAATTCGTGTAAAGTGCCTTTCCCAAGGGCACAAGATCGGTGACATGGCAGGATTCCAAGACGTCCCGAGTTCCGAGCCGAACGCTCTGCGGTTACGCCACACGACCCCAGGGCTGGCACATCAAGTTTCAACCAACCAGTATAGTAACCATGATGTCATGTGCAAGGACTCTGCAGTAGTGAGGACGTGTGTGCCCTGTCGGCAGCCTTCCGTGATGAATTACTTCTGGTTGGCTGAGAGTATCCCGGGATGTATGTAATAAATCAAAGTTTTAATACCCTCTTAGATACTGCCTGCCCGGAATATTCATTATCACGGTGCCCTTGAACTGCTCTGATGGTATCATGTGGGCACGTGTTGGACCTTAGAGGGAGAGATCGAGATGGAATCTGGTAAAGGCGATTTGAGATATCAAAGGTTTGGTCGAAGGTCGGGCAGGGAGATAAATTAACGTCTTAACCCTTTCTTGGATGACCTCGCACTGCCTGCTACACGCGACGAGGGAGTCGCGAAAGAAGATCGAAATTCAGGAACTATTTTCCAATCACAGTCACTAGTTTCAAAAAAGTCTATATGGGTTGTCAAAAACTGAATTATGAGTACCTTTCCGTAATTGCAATTTGAAGATGCAATTAAGTTTATGATGTTGTGAAATGTATCGGAGTCTATGGCGGATCGATCAAAAACTAGATGACGCATACATTACTGTAAAATCCTGCGTGTCATCTTATATAATAATTTCTATTGGGAATTCTGCTGAGATTAAATGAGCCGGTATACAGCCGTGCATGCTAACAAATCAGGCTAACGTATTGACAAGGCGCATCCGGACCAAACGAGATGCCCTGTTAAATAAACAAGCAGGACCCTTTAATTGACTATCGACCCGTCCTTCACACACTGTAAGTGGTACGTTCTCGGGGAGAATGTTAATGGCGCGAAACGGTCGTCAGATCGTGCGGAGAGGACCGCCTTAAGATCAGCCTGAATGAGCTGAAGGTATGAATGGCGAAATGTGATTAATGACAAGTTGGGAGAATCTAACAAGGGGCAAGTGACAGGGTTAATGGGAATGTGTCTTAAGGTAGTATAGAACAGTGTCTGTGTGGACTTAAGAGTTTGGATTACAGTTAGATTACAGTCAGACTCTGAAGATCGTCTGTATAACCTTGTTGTAAAACGATGACTTATGCAAATTTTGTGACGTCATGATGAAGTCATTACTGATTAATGTTCCACGTCCATTTTAAGAAAAATAGTTTTTGAGACATCGTTCTGTTTCTATCCAAATGTTTGATTTTTTCTTCTTTTTCTTAACCGTTGATTTTTCGCGATTTTTTTCGCGAACTACCGCGGTGAGAGCGTAAATTGATGGAGATCTGGTACAAAGGACGCGGTGTTTATAGAAAGTGCACCATCGTTACCTCCAGGCGGTCGGGTCGCACTCCCAGACACCTGGGTGAAATATCGGAGTTCACAATCTTCATCCGCGGCAGTACGGGTGAGATTTCCCGCCCTGCGCGAGCCGTAATCTCGGGAAGGCCACATCACGCCGTGACTCCGCCATGGCCGCGAGACGCCAGGATTATCACATCCGGGACATGTGGCTTATTTGCCAACTTACTAAGCAGGCTTCCCCTGACACTACGCCCACAGCCGGGCCTTACCGCGCTACTGACGTGCCCAGGAAATGAATCAGGCAATCTGGTCAACAGTTCAGTGTTGTATTATGACATCCCTTCGGCAAATAACCTGGAAGGCCACAGTTAAAGACCCCAATTCGATCATAGCCCACGCACTTCAGGAATTACGGGAGGGGTACTTCAGCAACTATACTAGGAAAAGACCTTAGTATGGAGAAGTACAATAAACGGGAAGTTATTAACCATCTAAGTCTTGTTTAAGTCTTTAGATTGACTACAAATTTCCATGGTATTCTTATGGTGATGGTTATTGGCTAGACTTGCTTACAGCGGTTAGTCCCTGGCACCGTGTGTTAAAAAAACTGTTTATTTTGTTCCCTCCTCAGGTCGTCGGCTGTACGACACTCTACAATCGTTCGGCCGCTACTTTGTCAATTCGTCAACAACGCGGACTGTCTTGTTGGAACTTTGGTACAAGGACGACACAACCTCCAAACATCGTGCAGACAACATCATTGAAGGAGATAGACATCTGAAAGAAAATCACACAAGTCAAGTTTCTGAGAGCATCATGGAGGACTTCAACCAGTCCATGCCATCCGGCATGAGGAATGCTGTTCATACGGGAGTGAACATGACTGTACCCCAGGGGTTTGTGTGGACGGCGCCGGTCATACAGCGTGTGATCACTATCGGCATTATCATGTTCCTCACACTGGTCGGTAACGGCACGATCATCGCCGTCCTGACGCAGAAACGCCGCTTCAGCCGGGTCAACATCTTCTTACTCAACCTCGCCATCGGCGACCTTTGCGTCTGCGTCGTTACCATGACTACGGAGATCTTGTTCGTAGCGTTTGACCAATGGGTGCTGGGCGCCGTACTGTGTAAGATGATAGTGTACGGACAGATTGTGACCTTAGCGAGCGCCACGTTCATCCTGACGGCCATGAGCATTGACCGCTACATGGCCATCACCAACCCTCTGCAGATGTCCACGAAACATCGGACCCTCGCGCACCGGATGGTCGCCCTGGCCTGGATAGCCGCCTTCATGCTGGCCATCCCGCAGCTCCTGATATTCGTGCAGAAGGAAGTTCGGAAGGAGAACGGCGAGACGGCCTACGCGTGCCAGAGTAAGGGCTACACGGCGGAGTGGCAGCGCAAGGTGTACGTCACCTGGCTGGCGTTCTACGTCATGGTGGCCCCTGGCGTCATCATCACGTACTGCTACATCAGGATCGTGCTGACCCTGGGGAGAGAGGGGTCGGACAGCATAGACACCCAGTCGGCCCTACGGCGCTCTGATAACGAGAAGATCATGAAGGCCAAAGTCAAGGTAAGACTCCTGAAATGTGATTTTGTGCGGGTAGGAGTCAAAGTGACTGTAGGGGAAATTGAAGTCCTGATTTTGCAGGGAAATGGGTTCCCTAACATAACATTTTCGCTTTGCACCTTGAACCTTCCTCAAGGGTCGAGTGACCATCTGCGCCCAATACGTGATTTTAAGTGACTGTAGCAGTAATCAGAGACGGGAGACGTCACAAACTGCAAGGAATTTAGCTCCACTACCCGAGAAAGACGAGGGGTGACAAGACGTTAGAAAGCAGAATTGTGTTGACATGTGCATTGCAGAATCACTACCATTGTGATACTACGAATACGACATGACAAATCCATGCCGGTAGAAAAAGACTAATTTTCCTTTTCTGCCCATACCAGACCATAAGGATGACCCTGTGTATCGTGATCGGATTCCTGGCCACATGGACGCCGTACTTTGTCGTCACTCTGTACGACGTGTACGCCGGGCAGGGCCTCCCGGAGGTCGCCTACGTCGTCGCCGAGACCATGGCGCTCTTCAACTCCGCGCTCAACCCGATCATCTACGGGTTCTTCAGTCTCAACTTCAGCGAGATCTTCTACAAAATCTGCTGCCGGTGCCGGCAGGGTCCGGAGGACTATCGAGTCCGGAAGGGTTTCATTCAGACATTCCGGACTGAGGTTCCGGATCATGGGATGTACAAGATGAAGAGTTTGCGACGAAGGCCGACACATCCAAACGCAAACGGAGACGTCGCAGATGACTGCAAAAATACGTAAAGCTGCTCTATGTAATGGAGGTTGCAACGTTGTGTCAGAAGAAAGCATGTGCAAAAGAATAAGAGCTAAACAACTATATGGACTCAGCAACAGTTTTGTTGCCAAAGGATATCACCCTAGTCTGTTATCATTACATTATTGTTAGCAGAGCTTGGTTGGCATCTAACCATGCAGTCGAATACTGCATTCAGTAATTGCTGTAGATATGAATACCTGTATACATAAAGGAGTAAGTCTTAGATTCAGAGGCGGCAAGTGATGATACATATTGTATAGAACATGATGTATACATGTAGAACAATAAGCACAGATTATCATACTATGAACAGTAGTGTGTGAACGGCATGCTATATAGTCTTCTGCCAACAAAACACTTAGAATTTGTCATTTCTTGAGAATGATAGGAATAGCATGAAGAACACATTATCGTACGGTAGGTAGACTGAAGATACACGAGCTATCCTGTCAAATTGGATATACCACGCTTCTACATGTAGGTGTGAGGTTCAACAGTAATACCGTACACATATAGTCTAATTTGTTACGGTGGAAATAGGAGAAGCAGATGGCTGGTCCAGATTGTCACGCTACATGTGCATGTGTACATACGACGTCAAGGGCAAGGTCTGCAGATTCTCAAGGCTGGTCCGACATATCTACTAGTACATGCTTAACACGGACAGAGAGCAGTACCAATATATCTAACTCAGAACATAACGTCTGTTCAACCTGTGTGCTGGATCATACTGAAAGTGAATAAACAGATCGATCATGTCATACAAGATGAAATACATGCTCAATATGTGTACACCTTACTTATACTTACTCTCCTCAGCGACGTCTGGGTGGGAGGGGGGCACCCCACTCGGGGTGCAGGATTACACAGCAACAAAAGCTGTCTCAAAACTAACAAAGAACCGATGAATGGAACATAAAATGCACAAACCCTGTCTCAAAAATGGATGGCACAATTTTACGCCGCCAGGGCCCTGAAGGATTGAAACAGATTTTAATTAATAATCCTACGTTGAGAGCCCTTCCGCGACCTCTGACCTCCCACAAAGTAAAGTATTTTTGTTCAATAACAGTCCTTTACGACTCACTCGTTTAAATTAAGACTGTGGTAAACAGAAGAGTGTCTTTAGTAGAAACAACACAAAGAGATAGGCTGGAAGTCCAAAATTCAGTGAGTGCCCATCATGCATATCCAAACTCCTCGTCATCTGGAGTTGCTGTGCATCTCGCAAGATGTCTCTTCTGAGCGCGCATGACCAGACTTGGCAGTTTTTTTGGCGTTTGACGAGTTTCAAGAAGACAACTTTCCGTACAATGATGACTCTTATCGCTTGTAAAGGTTATCGTAGTGATGACAGTGACGAATGAGTGATCAATATCTGTAAGATTTGTTCACTGCTTTTCCCTCTGACAACTTAAGAGCTGCGTGAACATTTTACAGTTTATAGGACGATACGTATCAACGCTACCTTGCGACAAGTAGGGGAAAAGCACACTATTCATTCTCAAGCGGAGATCTGAGCTGCTAGCCAATGGGAGCCAGCAGAGGAAAGGAAGAGAAGGAGTAGAAGAAGAAGCACATCCTTCATTGACAACCTGAAGCGGGATGATGGGCTCAGAAACATCGCCACAGCAGAACTCCACTCACTGATGGTGGACAGGGACGAGTGGAAAAGAAGAACCCATTGTCTCCCGTGAGGACATCCCTGATGCCCCCGTGCAAGGTTCAAGGTTCATAAAGCCTGCAAAGGCGTCTGGTGGAGACTATACTTTTCACGTGACGCGCTGCTTCGTGCGTGACTTAATCTTCAGCGGCGAGACGTCTTACAGAATTTGCTGTGATCAACTTGGGATCGACTCCGGTCCATTGTAAGATCAGAAAGCCATAAAACGCCCATCGGCCTGAGCCATAATGTGCTCTGTGTCCATCACAGCGGCCATTCCCTGCCCATGAAGGGTTCTCTAACACGCAGTTTAGATCAGCGGGCCGTGCCAGGTAGGCGATACGGCTCATGACTACGGATTATGGTGATAACCAAAAATAGAGAACGACCAATATCACGGGATTACGACCTTTTTCAAGGCCAGTCTTCAGAGAGGAGAAAAGTACACACACGTGTAGAGGGGGGTGATTACAGATCAGTACAAACTAACGGATACATTTGTCATGCTCTGTTTACATTTGAATCACTGCTAGAGACACTATTCCCCTGATCCGGTTTTTCCCGTTTGTATTCTGCATAAGCACATACTTATCTCTTCTAACCATTTTATATATTACTATATTATGTCATATATTCTATTTATACCATGTCAGAAGAATATAGCATGCAGCCAATCGCGCTATTTTCGGTATGCCAGGGGTTTATGATTATCTGATACCTGTGTCGCAGTTATCCTTCGTTTGATATATTTGTATAATGTATCTGGATATATAATCTTAATCAATATTCTGGTACTGGTAGTAGAATTCTTCGTGCACATGTACACGCGTCATGCTGAACTTCTCTGGTAGCCTGTAGACTTACATCGCCAGTGTTTCACTTGTAACTATATTGCAGCAAACCAACCACCTACTACAACTAATATTAGGAGAAACTAGCTATAGACTGCATGCTGAGCAATAATCTCCTAGCATGAGAGGAATTTTTTTACAAATGTCACGTCGACTCACTCCTCTTATTGAAATACCTTACACCCATCAGGGGGTCTCCATTCAGATACTAGTACATGGTCCCTACTTGTTTCTCATGTCTCTGCATGCATTTTGTTGAATGTATTTCTGCCTCTATCTGTGCGTCGTTGTTCATTTACAGAGGAAAAACGAGTGCTCATCAGCATTCACAATGCATACGCATTTATTTATTTCAAATGCAGCAGTACATTACATTGACTTACAGGCAGCTTGGCTGATATTCGTCAGTCGGCAATTATACATACGGGGACAACAGGTAACGTTACATATGTATACAATAATTTCTAATTAAACCAGCTGACTGTATATAAGTGTAATGTCGACTTCAAAACTAAGACACTATGCTCATTCATCAGCATTCACAAAGTATACCCATGGATCCGTTTATCAGAAAACTCCTCAGGAAATATTGAGTTCGTGGGGTCGTGTGGCGTAGCGGCAGAGTGCACGACTCCGGAACTAAGAGTCCCGGGTTCGAGTCCTGACATGCCACCGATCTTGTGCCCTTGGGAAAGGCACTTTACACGGCTTTCCTCACTTAGCTCAGGTGTAAATGAGTATTGTCCTGTCATGTATTTGTCCCCTGTGTTGGTGGCGGCATTAATATAAGTTTAAAAAACTTGAGTGTGTCGTCACCACGTCTGGTGATTACATGTTGGAATAAATAAAAAAAAAAAATATTGAGTTGGCGGAACCGGTCATCAGTCTGAAATATCACCCATAAGTAAGAAGAAAACCTATTTCGAGCGGATATAAATCGATGCAATATGTCTGTCGGTCTGTCTGGCGATCAGCTGATATCCTTGACTCATCTCTGTCTCAGAGATGCCAAGATCTTTAACGCTATAAATCATAAACTTCGTATCTTTCTTTCAGTTCAGTTTTATTTCAAAGTCGACTTGAAGATCTCTAACGTGCACTATAAATCACAAACTTCATCTTTCTTTCAGTTCAGTTCAGTTTTATTCAAAATCCACTTGCATGTACGTTGAACAATGTTACATGAAATATGTCGGATTTTTACAGACACTGCTTTCCATGAAGTAACAATCGTTCTTCAGTGCAATTCAAAACTCCTGACACCAAATATTATATAATGCAGGATGTTGAAAATGTTAACATCATTTGACGGAGGTATGAGATCGTGGAACTCGTTATCGTTGATATCAAACTTACACAATCATTATGACAAGCGTGCTATTTTTGGTTTTCATTGCAGCAGCTATCGCAGCTGTCAAATCATTATCATGCACTGTACATGTATGTCAAGCAAACTAATGGGTTGGACGTGGGGAAAGTTGACGAACTGGAACAACATCAACTACACCATTAGTCAAACTCGGCGTGTGTGCCAGGCACGTACAGCATCGTGGTTAGGTCTACTTTATTTTTAGAAGACTCGGTATGACATATTACGTTTTTAAGTGGCTGTGATTAAATCTCTTGCTCTTGGGTGTACTAAATCGTTTCTCCATAAATAGCGTGCGTTACAGAAAAAAACGAAAAAGAATGACACAACAGATCTGTAGTGCCCCAGGACACAAACGCATTACTGTGGAGCCACATACAGACGGGACACGTCGGACCGTTTCAGAATAAAACATTAAAGGTCTGTTAACGTTCCTAGCTGCTCAAAGGAAGCGTTCAAAGCACAACATTTTGTAACTAAATGTAAGCTGACATCCGTTAGGTACAGAACTGTAGCCTGGTTACCAGAGAAAATAATTGCGGAGAGGATGTAGGTCTCTGAAGCTAAAATAGGTCTGGTAACTAGGCTAACACAACTGATCAAATAGCTGGGGACTTGGCAGGTGAATACGAATGGTAATGGTAATCTTCATGTTGTAAATATTTTGTCTGTATTTACAATTGAGTGACTTCGACAGACCGTTTATTGAGATCCGGTGAACATAGTTACGACATTTACTGACATTTCCAGTCACTTCGCCTTCACTTAAGTCTCAAACAGTTACTTTATCAAAGCACTTTGATTTTTCTACTTTGTGCATTCATCACCGACTGTTTGTTGACATTCCATGTACTGATGAATATGATTGGCTATGATCAAGTTTTCACGACGGCAACATTTATAGCAAGTTCGTTTGGTCTAGGTTGCGAAAACCCATTTCCTGGCGCTGATGCAGAATAATCGTTTACGACATTTATATCTAATGACGTTGTTGAAAATGCCAAGTTAGCATGAAAGTTCACCTGTGTTGGTACAAGTCATTATGAAGTAAAGACTAGGCTTTCTTTCCAACACTGGAATGGATTAGGGACTTACCCCTATTGAGTAAGTCCCTAGTTCATTCCAGTGTTGGAAAGAAAGCTGCGGACCGGGGATTCGAACCCAGAACCTTCAGATTTCATGCCCGTATCCGTATCAGTATAGCCGGTATAACCGCCCTTTGGCGTAACACACCAGCTTCGCAGGCACGCGGCGCGGCGGCTGGCTATATTACACCGATGCCGTACAAACCTAACCACAAACGCCACTGCCACCTTGAGATGGGACGGTTATGAATCATCTCGCACTGCCCATGAATGTAAAAACAGCCGCAGCTAAACTTGGTTCACGCTTTCCTCGTACCTAATCGCGCACGTCTGCTTCTCAGCCATTGTCAGTCCTTCTTTTGTCCTCTTCTTTATCTCCTCCTGCCTCCCGGAACGCCTCCAGGCTTACGGATGGATTTTGTTCATGACGACGTAACGAATCGGTCCGACACGTGAGGTATAACGGTGGGAACACATCTTCTGACGTTACAGTCACGGCATGACGTGGCTACGTGCGCACCTCACCGGTAAACTGTTGTACCAAGAGTAACTAAAGGTATTGCAAGAATATGTCTATTTACTCACTCTATAATCTTTGAGTCAACACGAACAAACTATGTTTTTAGATATCAAATAATGAAGCAATTCCGACAATTTCTGTTTTTACAATCCTTTTCAGCCTAGCGTACCATTGAGTCCTATGCTAATATTTTACAAAATTATGAACCGAAACTTATTATTATCAATTAGTAAGACAATGCAGCAAACTTATTCTGAGTCAAGTTTCGTTGTGAGAACACCGAGAAGGCGGCCGGTAGATCAAAGTTAACACCCATCTGTGGGTCTCCTCAGCCGAAAGCGCGTCTCTGTTCACGTGAGGCCCATCGGGAGGTTGTGGCGTCCCTCGGACATGACGCTGAAATGGTGCGAAGGCTGAAGTAATCCCCGCCCGATGATGCGTGGAAGCTGGAGTCGGCGGGCTTTGAGAAATCAATTTCCCCTAATGATTTGCGACGTCGTGAAAGCAAATGACTAGAAGCCTCTTGCCGACCGTGCGCCCCGGAGTTCTAGGAAGGCAATGTTTCCATTTGTAACCATGGTGTAGATGTAATAGTAACCACGCGTGTCCAAAACATGATCAACAGATCAATGATCGAATATCATTAGTTGGCCTTAAGTAACTAGCTATTCAAAACAAACCGTGACAAAACACATATGGGCCATAAAATGTGACCATGACTCCATGATCTGACTCATCATTAACTATAAACAACGGCAACTTGTACATATGATTTTTTTAACGTGTTTTCCAAAGCTTGGATTCTTGTGTAGATCATTCTGTTATCCGCACACCCCACTGGTCTCCAGGCACTACATGTATGAATTTACCGCCGTGCCACATGTTGTTTGGGTAAGTAAAACTTTCCAGACGCAGTTGTTATCATTGACGCCAAGATACGGTAGTCTACACGCCCTTCAACCGCCCACTAGATCAAACTTAACTGTCAGCTAACATTGCATTTCGACATATCACTCTAGAGATACAGCGTATGTTGTTCATTACCTTATTCTTCCAGTTATCACTTCAATTTCAAGTATGATTTTCTTTTTACGTGGGCCATTGTTAATAACCTGTTACGTTTATTAAAACATAATTCCAGATACTGAAACGTCCGGTACAATATACTATATCATAACCTACAACGATATGAAAATTAATAACGATTAGGAAGTGTGTTCATTTTAGCTGTAGCCTAAGGATGTACTTCAGCAATCGGGTTTTCTTAGCAAAATCATATCCTGTCATAATCCAGATAGATGCGAGAACAAGTAATAGACTTGAACAGCTCCGCCCTAATATTGTCCTGTTCTCAGAGCCATTCCATTGAAAAATCGAAGGGGTGACTAGGTTATATACTTTGGTTGAAATAGAAAAGGAGGGCATGATATTAGAAAATCTTATTACAGTGTAGGTGGTGGACTGAAATACCATTCTCTATTCTAACGGTCACGTGTCGCGAGTATGAAGTCTCCCTGTCGACCGCCCTCTGACAGTTTCGGAAGTGGAATCGTCCTGATTCAAATGAAGAATTAGCCTTCACATTGGCGGGGAAGTCTCTTACCTGGCAAAGCTTTAGAGTCGAGCAGTAGTGACGATACCTGAGCCGGAAGCATTTGTCAAGCCTTTAAAACAAAGAGTGTTCTACTTGTGAGGACGATACATTTGCCGGGTTTGGACGGTTCCTGTCACGAGACACTGTGGGCAGTCCTTGGTCGTCAGGTCAGGTTCAAGGTGGCCGTGAGTCAAAGGTAAGTTTATTTTCCAAACGTGAGAGCAGGAGAGAGATAGGGGAGACTGCGTTGTTGTTGTCTTTAATACAGAGCCAGTCTGACGTTGAAAAAATCCAGACAAAACCAGCAAAGTAGCGTGTTCGCGCAGAGCCTGCACCTTACCTAAGGCCACACTGACTTAATTCTATGGATGACATCCACGCGCGCATTGATTTTCGCCTGTCGCCCTCAAAAAAAAAAAAAAAAAGAGATCACCTCCGCCGAGGCTCTGGCTCTAGACCTGGGTAGTCCATGGTAGTCAGCAACAATACGGAGCCGATCGCGAGCGCCCAGGCTATGGGATTCGAAGCTCCGCGACTCAAGAACTCAGTATGTAAGTACAGTACCGATTCATAAATGCCGCAAAGCCAGCATGTCGTATACGTTGCTAAGTACTGTCGCAAATTCACAATACCAGTTTTGTATTCCTGTGGTTTAGTGGCATTTTTATTTTTGGCCGGAATTTTTTTATTCGCCCGCGCGCACTAGTTTGGGGGTCTTCAGACGATGTCATCCATAAAATTAAATCGGTGTGGCCTAAGAGGGCAACAACCTCTCAACGCTTACCAGGACATCCCGTGATAAAAGCCAACCCACCATGTGTTTTTCCAGTCAGGTTCCCTCAGAAAAAAAGTTGTTAGCGGTAACTCAATCTGAAGGGCGCGGGCAGCTTTTAGACCTCTTTTCCTTGGTCTGAGACCAATCGTGCCGACAGAGTCTTAAGTAACATAGATGTCGTAACCTGTTCGTGTTGTGTAAGATCTAAAGAATCGGTGTCTGCAAGCTTGATGATGGCATGTATAACTTTTATGCTTTTTACATGTTGATGTATGTGCATGTACGTACTTAAGCCAAATATTCTAACCGAAAACAATGGAGTAATAAAAACACTCTTCCATTGTACGAATACTAACAACCCCAACCCAGCAGGTAGAAAGTCCCTACTTAAAAGCATTTTCACCATCTGCTTTCTGTCGGTTTCACCCCAAGGATACCTGGTATTTTAATCCAAAGTTTTCCACCCTGCCACGGATCTGTACATGTGTTTGTTTGTACGAAGACAATTTTGCAGACAAGTAGTAGACTTAATGACATAAGTCAAACAAAGACTTCGGGATTCCTCTGATAGCATCAAGTTATTGCAAAAGGACGATGTGGAATTTTAGTATGTAAATTTTGCATCAATTCAATGCGAAAATACAAAAAGGTACATGTAGGGCAGCTTAAAGCCAAGTATTCCCGGTTCAAGTCAATATCTTAGGGAAACGCTCACTTTATTAACAGCTTTTTAAAAACAAAGAAAGAAAAGCAGGCCCTGAAAGAAAAAAAATGAAAGAAAGAAAGGAAGGAACAAACAAACAAACAAACAAACAAACAAACAGTTATTTGGCAACATCAGTGATAAAAAATAGACAGTTGAGCATGTAGATGACTTATGTATGTATGTATGATTAGCCATTTCTGTACCAGATCTAGAATCTAGGTCTCAAGTTCATTGACATCAACTTACGCATTTACTTTGGCCTGTTTTCCAAGGAAACAGAAAAAAAATTACTCGTTTTAGCAGGCTAGCGGCGGGTCGAATGACATCCAGAAACGTCACCCAGTAGATCTGTGTAACATACATGTACGCCGTAAGTCACAGCCAGAGAGGGGGTTACAGAACACGGACGCTTTCCCGGTGTACTCTGGAGATTACAATGACGAAGGGCTGCTATGTAATGCGACGCTACAGGTATTTCAAGGAGAAACACATGTTTCAAACATCGTCACTAAAGATGCGTTCACATTCGTCATGCGATTTTGATGTCGCAGGGTTTTCAAGCAGAACAACGCCAACCAGCATTTCCGTAACAAAACAGCTGAATTTCACACGGCATAATCACCGACCATCCCACGATTGCCTTCGCAACGATCGCACAACGAATGCGACCAAGCCATAACACCAGTACCTAGGGGTAAAACAGGGATATTCTTTACCAAAAACATCTTCTGTACCAAAGATTCGTCTGGCTAGACCGTCATGCCGTAGTGCGAGTTTCGGTCTGGGTGATTTAGTGATAAACGTAATTCGTGAGGAATCTTCCTCAGAACTGAAACTTTTACCGTCAGCTAGGGTACTCGTTCAAGTAAACGCTTTGCTTAAGCTCTAAACACGTTTACCGGAATGGCGCACCCATTTATTACCAGTTGTACAAGGTCACGCCAAGCTCATGGTCTTTTGCCCTGTCCCGTAATGGAGGATATTTGTCTTCCCGCGTCCGTTTGCGAAGCCGATGACAGCCTAAGCCGACTGATCCTCGGGCGGAATCACCGGCGCATCCCGATGAGATTCATCACCGCAGCCGGACCCAAGGACAACCCATGGAGGACGGGGAATTTTAACTCTGCATCTATGCGCTTAGCCCAACAATTATTGCGTCAATTCCGGCGTTAATTGGGCCGCGCGGTGCCGGGTGTGTGATGTGCTCGCTCGTACACGTGTCTTCCACCAGTTCCAACCATTATTGCCGTCTGATAAACTCCATTTATGGATAGGCGAAGCGCAGTGAAACGTTTTTACAGACCTGTAAGTATCTACTTCCCTATCTCAAGACATAATTTCTCTGGCGCTTTTAACCAGAATTTTTACACCTCAAACCTCTATTGCTGATTGAAATGACTTGCTGCCAGCATTTGAGTATCTGGAAGCTAGCCCTTTACTACACATCACTGCTTCAGTAGATGAAGTTGCACGTTCCAAAAATGACTAACATGTTCCCAAGGCCAATAGATGTAATAGTGGTGACTACCAATTTCTCGGGGTTATAACCGCATTAACTGCTGATGAAAGTAAATTATGTATTGATCTTGTCGTTTTGGTTCCATTATTAAGTCGAATGACAACTTAGGCAAACTTATTCTTCAGCCAAAACTAACTCGGTGCTAAGTTTTAACATGTACATGTACATCCTTGGGCTTTCAAGTAAATAGAACCTAACTGAAAACCTAGAAATGTGTTTTACGACTTTTAGGAACTACCCAGTCAGTCTACTCACAATGTGCTTTGACTAACTTCACCATGAAGGCCATCTGACTCTAGATCAAGACTAGTCTCCAGGTCTTCACAATGTTTGATGTTCTTGAGTTCTTGAATTGGGGTCTGAATAGTCCCTTGGTCAGTAATCCAGACGCACTGTGCAATTGTTTGGCGCTTTCATCTTTGCAGGCTGCGTCATTTGGGAAGGCTGCGAAAAAAATCGAGACATGATACCCGATTCCCCGATAGGTCGTTCCCTCCCTGCGGCTGGTTCGGTGATGGCTCTGGGGCCACATTTATCAGTTTGACCGGAACTTGGCGGGAAAACGCTCGGGCAGGATTGTGTATACAAGAGTTTGATATCGCTAATTCATCACTGATGAAAGGAAACTTCACCACCTACCTACACACTTCCTACATTTGGTGAGAATGCGTCTATTTATAAAATTTTAAGATCCGGCTGCATTACCGGACCTTATCGTTACCCTGAGAGCTGTTCTAGACAGACGGCTTCACACTGATGGCCCCAAGATACCCCGAAGTTAGGCTGCTAGTCATGTCTTAGATCGATACTTGGCAAGGGAAGCCCACTTTGCCGATGTGAGCTCGCCGGAGTCAGTCTTTCAAGTACGCGGCAAACAAAAGGCTGTGCCCCATCATGATTTATAATGCGTACTTTCATCTTGCAAGTGTTGGGAACTTTCTGGAGTATAACCCGTCTGTTTGCCAAGTACTTGAAAGTTATAGCTATCGCATGCAAGGTTTAAAAATAGTTAGCTCAGAAAGAAAGTTGAAGCCAATGTAAAAACCACTGGCGCCACATGAAAGAGACCGACCGCTGCTGGCCTTTTCAAACTAGTCTGTAAGTCCAGACATTGATCAGAACTCGTGGTTCCCTCACATTAATTGAAATCTCTGCTCCAAGCTACCGCCGGGTCAAGACTTCATCTACTATATGGATGACCGACTCACTGAAGGACGTCTGGGAAAAGTTCCAAACGTAACAATTGAGTCTGTACATACTTTTTTTGCAAAGCGAGCACGATGTGAGGACATTTATTAAACGAGGCAAAGCGTGCCAAGTTTAATTTCTGGTGTCGAAAATAGATGTGTGGCGCCAACGTCCATCACTGGCATTTTAACAACCCCTGCGTCCAAATCCTACCGCAAAACGCCCTCGCGGTTAAGCCAATGATAAGGAAGGAGGACCAATGATCGTACGGGACATTTATCATAGAACAAGGAGGCCTGGCCGTGAACCTGGGTGTCAGATATATTCTGTCCCGGCCACAAGTCGTAAAAATTGTGAAATAAGACCGATGATTGTGAGAGGAGCGGCAGGGGAAGGGCGCTAAAGAGCAGGGTAGCAAAAGCGAGAGGTAGGCATTCATTCAACTCCCTTCCAAGTCCCAACCCAATGTAATTTGACCACCTTCTTGTGTATTTCAGACTACTTCACGTTACTTCATGTTACATACAGGTCCTAAAGAAGATGTTCTACAGACATAACGTGTCGGTTTTGATTCATTTTTCTTCTGATAAGTGAGCATCAGGGTTACGGTGTTACATGAATGACGCAAGAGAGGAATGAGAAATCCGTGTGTTGCCGGGGAGGGGTACACTAGGAACAGTTCAGTTCCTTCATCCTATTTTTAGGTGATACCAGTAATGTTTTCCTTTCGCTAGCCGCAGTCTTGTTTTAGTTGGCTCGCTGAATACCACAGTATGCACTGTATAGTTTATCGTATGTCTTCACTTACAACCATAAAGGAGAGAATAATGAAAGTCTATTGTTATCAAATAATAGCAGGGTTGAAGGGTGATACGAGTACTACATATAATGTGTCTTTACGGATTTACATCAAATTTGAGCTGGCTGAATCATTCGCCCTGCCTCTCGCCAAAACTTTAATTATCCTACCTCTACCAACCGTGGTTACGAGGTTAGTCACACGACCGT